AGTCCTTCAATGGAGTCGCAATAATTGGGATATTGAATTACTACTTCTATTTGCAATTGTTGATCTTCTCCTGAATTTGATTCAATTCAGTGATTCCCTATTCATTGTTCTTCAAAACTGCTAGTGTATCATTTTCCTTCATCCTATAATAACTTATTCCTTCATCCTATCATTCAGTGTACTGTTTTATTTGGTTAAAGATCCATTCTTTTTCTTGACTGGCCTACCTTGATATCGAAATGAATTCCCTTGAAATCCAGTCTTCCTCCGAGTCCATTTTCGGTTCCTTTCTCCTTATTATACAATGGAATTGTCCGAAGTCCGCCAATATTAGCATGACTGTGAACGCCTTTTTTGGCTTTCTTTCCTGTCTTTTCACCCATTGAGATTCGCTCTCCCGAGTTTTTTAATTTAGGCTCGACTTTGCGGAACCGTCCTAAATGTCTATTTCGATGATGACGAGAGGCAGCATGTTAAAATGCGTTGCTTACATATGCAAGGAAGAACATGATAAATCAGATCCAGTGAGACATACTGACGGCATATTGTTTCATGTCTCTGATCCGGACCCATCTGCAATTGGAAAAACCAAATGATAGCTGCTTTGGATCAATGTGGCACACTTAGTAGTAGTTCATTTTGAAAGTCAAATTTGAAGGAGCCATATAAACTGTGCTTTTGCAGGTTAAAATACCGTCTGATGGTTCCTTCTTTATTCTCCAGATTTCGTGTACGATAGGAACCAGATGAATGTGCTTGAGGTAAACAAGACCGATTTTGATTCATGCAATTCAGATCATCCTCTTCAGAATTGGACGACCGGAGCAGGAAGGGATGTTGTTCCGCTGAACATAACTAAGACTTATTATTTCATCAGTGGAAAGGGCTTCTGCTATGGAGGAGTGAAGGTAGCAATTCATGTTGAAAATCTACCTCCCCCACCAGCATCCTTGCCTCAAAAGAGTGATTCACCAAGTCTGCTGCTGTCCACTTTCAGAGGCCAGGTTTTCATACCAACTCTTTTTGCAGCTGCTGCTTTATGGGATGCCTTTATTCTACGCTTGTGATCAAATAGAAGTTGAGCAAATGTTTTGTCATTTTAGACGTTTCTCTGATCCAATTAGGGATCATGTTTTCGATTGTTCCTTTTCCAACAATCTCTTATTTGTCCATTGCATAGTTTGGCCTGAAAGTTAATAGTGTTTTTCAGATCAAACACGGCGGTTGATGTTGGAAGTCTGTGAGTATGTTGACCAAAATTGATTAAAGAATGTTGTGTTGAATGATTTAACTGCATGATTTGCGGAGGAAGCATTTGTAACTGATCTTTGTCTGCGCCGCAAGTGATGGATTGCTTATTTGCATTGGTCCATAGACCACGCGCTTTGTAGTATGATAATGGCTCGTATGGATGGATGGATGATTGTGAGACGAGGGAGGTAAATCATGGGGGCGGGCTTTTCCATTTTTGATAAATTAATTACTCCTGGCTCCGTCAATTATCGGGGCTGGAATTGTTCCCGGTTACGGTAGTAGTGCTAAAGAATCAAGATCTTGAATCCTTGCATGCGGCACGTGATACTGTCTATTGTGAAGGTTGTGTATGAAATGTAAAATACTCCCTCGTCCCTCCATAGAACAGGGAACCAAACAATTTGCTTTCTTTTCTGGGAGGAGAGAATTGCAATTTTGATCCCAAACATTTGTGATATGAGCGCTTTTAATCCTTATTAAAGCTTGGATAAAGGCAAATCAATGTAGTTTCAAATGTTTTTCATTTTCCATGCACATTTAGTCCTAATGACTATTTTTTTTTTTTTTTTTTTACCAATTATTATCAGAATCATGTCACGGCCTGTTAACTAATTTTAAAAAAATTTAAAAATTAATAAAATACAACTAGTCATAAAACTGTAATAAAATGCAGCTAATTACTCATGTGGTGATCACAGTGCGAGTAATTAGTCGTCTTTTACTTCAAATTATGGCCACAATATTTTTATATTTTTAAAAAAAATTAATTCCGATAGCAATTGGTATAAAACTCAGTCAATAGGATCAAATGTGTTGTCTCAAATCTTTGAAGCAAAAACAGGTGATTCTCTCTTTTTAAGAAAGTATATAGTTATTGTGAAACCAAAATTATGACTCCCAAGGATATGCCAGTGACAACCAAAGGATATTTTAGTGACAAAGTGATGAAAGGCAAGGTTTGAATCTTGACCTCTCGCTCCACAAAAATTTAAATCTTTTATGATGACCAACAGCCTAAGGGACGGTTAGTTCAATGAGTTTGTAGATTGCCTTCCTTTTGTTTATACTGAGGTTGGGACAGATTTAAATTTTTTTTCTTAATAATATAAGTGAAAATGTTCGGATTCAAGAGTTTTCACTTATGCTTACTCCTTAAACCGCTCAACCCATTACTTTTCCGGACGGATCCGAATTGTACGTGCTTGTTGCTTAGGCCTGTCAACAGGTCGGGTCTAGACCCGGATCCGGACCGGATCCGTGAAATTATTGTGGGTATGGGTAGGGATTTAATTCCGTTTCCCGGATCCGGATCCGTTTTGTCAAACAAAAAACGGGTCGGATACGGAATATAGTATTCCGACCCGTATTAGACCCGGATCCGGATATAAATGAATTAATAATTTAAAAAATATATATTTATCAATATAATTTGATTAGGGTGATGTATTTTAATAAAGTTAATTTGATTTCTTTTCTTATTTGATTTTTTCTTTGCATTAGTTAGAAATTAGTTTACAAATATATTTTTTTCTCATTTTTATTAGAAATTATAAATTTTGGTAAATTTGCTCGGGTAGACCCGGATCCGGATCCGGAACATAGAATACAAGACCCGTCGGGTAAACGGGTCGGATCCGGATCCGGCATAGTAATTCGGGTCCGGGGTCCGGAATAATGAATTCCGGCCCGGACCCGGCCCGTTGACAGCCCTATTGTTGCTGCAGTGCAGGCAATCAACGGCCGATTGGTCCACTGGGCTTCATATAACTTGGGCTGTCCATTCAACAGATTAATTGACCGTCGCAGATTGAGCCCAACTGATTGGGCAATTCACTGCATGATGCGGTTTTCGCACCTGTACTCGATCCGTATTCCAATTTTTTATCTTCCTGGTTGTAATTTCTAAATATCTCCTCTTGTTCAGAAATAGGGTACGAGAAGAATTGAGAAAACAATCTGGTCGGGTTTGAAAAAAATTTTGTAATGTGTTCTGTAACAAACTTTTCATTTCACGCACAATCTATTAAACAAAGTTTCTAGACAAAATATATATATATATATTTTTTTTTTTCCTAAAGCTCCCAAGAAAACAACTGTTCAAGGCAGCATACCACTGCCACTTAATAAAAGTAGCGATACATGCAGTTCCTGTGAAGTAAAATCAGTCAAAGGTGCAAAGAAAGAGTTGTGCGTCCAGGAATGCCTTGTGCTTGCAAGGAGTTATGGGTTAAATTCTCTTAAAAGGCCTTTTTTTTTTTTTTTTGGTAAAAATCATAACGCTTAAAGGCGTTAATTAGGCAAACTTTTCACTATGTATACAAATTTAGGGCCTGTTTGGAAGGTGAGTTTTTTGGTGTGTTTATGTAAAACTTTACTGTAGATCACTGTAGAAGTTGTAGAAAAGCTTTGTAAGATTAAAAAACTTTTTTTAGAAGTTGTAGAAAAACTTTTTGTGTGATGAAAAACTTTTTTTCCTTTTCCTTTTCTTTCTTTCTTTTTCTTTTTTCTTTTCCCTCTGCTTTCCCCGCCACCCATTTCCTCTCCTCTCCCCTGGCACCCCCTCTGCCCACCACCCCTCTCTGCCTCCCCCGCCACCCGGCACCTTCCTCTCCCCTTCCCCTTCCTTCCCCTGCCACCCCTCTTCTCCCTCCCCCGCCACTCCTCTCCTCCTCTCTCCCCATCCCCCTTCCCTCGCCCACCTCTGCTCAATCTGCCGGCACCTGGAATTTTTTTTTTTTTTTTTTTGCAATTTTCCTTCTCCCCCTCTACTCCCCTTCCCCCGCCACCCTCACCCTCCCTCGGTGCGATCTGGTCTAGCGACCGGCCAGAGGGGAAGGGGAAGGATGGTAGGGGAGGAGTGGGGGAGAGGGAGAGGGAGAAAAAAAAAAGAGAGAGGATCAAAATCAGGCAAAGGGGGAGGATGGCAGGGGAGGAAGAGGGCGAGAGGGAGAAAGGGAAATAAAAAAGAAGATCGGCGCCGGAACCAGCGGCGGAGGTGGTGGCCGCCGACGGGGGTGGTGGTCAGTTGGGGTGGGGGAAGAAGAAGAAGAAAAGGGGAAGGGAATTTTGGATTTTTTGTGTTTTGGATATTTTAAAGTGTGTAGGTTAAAAACTTTGATAAATTTTTGGAGTTCCTGTACCAAAAGTTGTTAAAAAACTAGTATTATACAAACTTGGCAAAAAACCAAGGTTCCAAATAGGCCCTTAGGTTAGCAAAAAATCTTTAATTTTGTCCAATATATGAAATTGTACTAATAAAATTAACTTGTACGGAACTTATATGAAGTTGTTCAATTTTGAAATCTTTGATCATATTTTGTGCACAGTTTTTTTTTTTTTTTGCTTTGATTTCTTCAAATAATTAAACCTTTTATTTTGCTTTCTTTTTTTTTAATATATATATTTACATCTGCCCAAACAAAGATACACTTAATTTTGGGCACTAATGTTTCGGTTGGCCGCTCACACCAATGTTGCTGCTGCTGCAGTACTTGCAAGGAGATCCGGTACGCCAACGGGTTGTCGTATCGTACAGTTTTGTACAAGTGGACGATGGTGATTAATCAGGGCCAAAAAGGTAAGATTCGCAAAACAGAAATCGTGAAAAATGCAAGCTAGAGTCCAACAGCGGGTCACCACTCAGCTTAGCTAAGCATCCTACTCACTGCGCGCTCGCTATATGGCTGGTTGGTTGTTAAATACCAGCCAATTTGCCACTAGCCATCTCTTCTTCTTCTTGCCAGATTTGCATTTTTGGGGTCTTTTTTACTTAGTTACTAGTCTTTTCTTTTGTATATATTTGCTGATTTTTCGAGGTTGATTCGGCGGAATAAGTTAATTTACGGTTAGCTGGCACCATCCATCAACGCGAGGAATGGTACGTAGACTTATCAAATCTAATGGTACTAGTTCCATAACGGCCTCTTTCATTATTTTGCTCTCTTTTGACAGTGGTTCTTGGATGGTTTGATCATCATGATGCTGGGCAAAAGGGGTGGTGCATTATGGCTGTTGGTGGCGGCGGCAACGCTAACCTGCGCTGCCAGCAGACTCATCCAGGTTGGAGGTAAGCCTGGTTGGAGACCGGACGTTAACTACACCGAATGGGCCGCTCAGCAGCAGCTTTGCGTGGGAGATTGGCTCCGTCAGTATACCATACTCTCCATCTTCTCATAAAATTGTCTCCGTACCTCTCCTTTTGTTTTCTATCTTTTGCTCCCCTTGTGGTTGTTGTGTCTTTCTGCACTCTTGACATATAAATAATTAATGCAGTGTTCAGATTCGATAAGAGGATGTACAACGTGCTGGAGGTGAACCGGACAAACTACGAGCTGTGCAACGACCATGATTTCATACAGAACATTACAAGGGGTGGGAGAGACGTATTCCAACTCACTGAGGCCAGGCCTTACTACTTCCTCTGCGGCGGAGGCTATTGTTACGGTGGCATGAAGGTGGCTATTAATGCTGTTGAAGCATCCCCACCTGCACCTGAACCCACCCCCAAAAATGGTTCCCCAGTGACAACAACCAGCAGCAACCTGCTTGCTCTAACCATGGTTTCTGCTGCTGCGGCTGTAATTTGGTGTCATGGGTTTCCGCCTTTCACCGTTCACCGACTTTAGCCTCTCCCTCCTATTTGGGATTGCAAGTATTGAAACCTAGTTCCTGTTTGCCCGTGGTATGAATGGATCAGTAGTTTTACTACTCATGTTTCCAAGTAAAATTCAAACCTTAATTGCTTGAAGCCAATTCCGCCCAGGAACACTGCAATTATGTATACCAATTCCAACCCAACGCATCCCCTCGTGCATGTGCGCCCTTGATTCGGTGTTGTTGGTTCAGTTCCTTCGAATTATTCCATGACCTCTTCAGGTCCTCCCCTTCTCTATAGTGTAGGAAGCTATCGTATCGAAGAAAAAAAAAAAAAAATCCCCTCCTCATGTATACCAATTTTTGGTATAAAAAATGATGTCCAAATTATATTGCACCAAATATTAGCGTACAATAGCCCAATAGAAGGAAGGATACTTCAAATATTATAAAATTTACAGCATTTTGAAGAGATTTGCACGTGTGCAGATCACTCAGCCAAGCTAGCAAGAAGTTTAGCTCCTGGGTTTAACATTTGAAGAGCTTTTGGGCCAAGAGATCTGTGGAGTGGCTGGCACTCCCCAGTCAGTCAATATGTAATGGGCCTTTGGCCCTCCATAGCACAGAATACAAAGACAAAAAGTAGATCCGCTGCACCTTTTTCCGGAAACGGGCTTAGATAATCTATCGAACCAAACATGAGAAGGAAAGGTGTAGTGCTTGCAAAATACTAGTAATACAGTACATAATAACAAATAAATAGTTTTTTTTTTAAAAAAAAAAAATGGTGATGGAACTCAAAAGCAAGTGATAAGATTTTTGGGAGGGAGGGACAGAACTCAAAAGCAGAGAAGAGAAAATGAATTCATGAAATCAGCTGCGGCTGCGACGAAAAAACAACAGCAACAAGGAGAAGAGAAGAAGCTCCCAAAGTATAAAAGTCTGAATGGCAGCGGCTGCCTCTCCTGTCTCAGTAACTTCATCACCTAATTATCGCACCAATCCATCTCAAACCCGAAAGCTCCCTTCCCAATCATGGCCTCCCACTACTCCAACACGCTTTTCTCAACCCCTTTCCTCACGTCGGACATCCATCGCCGGAGCTGCTCAATCCATGAAGCAATCATCGTCGTCCGCACAACCCAATCCAGAAGTACACTTGAGCCTCGATGCGGTTCAACGATTTATTCACCTCAATTTTGGGAACTGGACCGGCACTTTCCACGTCTGTATTACTACTACTATATTTATATATAATTCTTTTTGCTTGATTTCTTTCTCGACTTACCCCCTATGCAATGCATTATTCAGTCTGTCTCATGACCGTTTTCTCTCCCCAACCCCTACTTTTTGCTGTTTCTCAATTTTGCAGCAATTTGATAGCCAGGGAAATTTGATGCATAAAATAAGTACCAAGCTTGCTGCGGGTTCTTATGGCGAAGATGAACTCATAAGTTTGATTCAAACGTAAGCTTCTTTTTTTAGCTTTTAATTTACTGATTTTTAGTTTGTAGTTTGTACCTTTGCTGCAATCACTAAGCCTCTCTACTTTTTCAATTTGTTTCTTTTCCTCGTAATTCTTCCGACACTGTTTTGACGATGTGGTTTAGGTAGGTGGAATGCCTTTAATTCACAAGGATTATTGGCTCATTGATTATGCTTTCCAGATTCGTTAACTGAATTTTGGTTACATAAGTGACATTCTCATGCTCGACGGTTTATTTTTTAGGCCGCATGATTTGTGGTTCATTGGTTATGCTCTACTGACTTGTTGATTGAGTCTTAGAAAGAGCTGAAGTTGATCACAGATTTAATTGCAATTCTGTCAACTCTCATGGCCTCTTCAGTGGCAGATTGAGAGAATTCTAACTAAAGATATCTAATGCACTACTTCACAATTCTTTTAAGACTCTAAATTTCATTGCCTCTCCGAAATCAGGTAGGTAGCTTAGTTAATCATTGATTTATTTTTTTTGCCTCAAAACTTTCTAGATGCACAATGTGTGTCCTTGTATAAGCTCATGTATTTGGTTAATTTGTAAAATTTACTCGCCTCATGAAACGACATTAGGCATAACCCAAGTCTGATGAATGGAAAGTTTGATAGCTTAATCCATTATGATGACCTTGTTAACCGCATGACTAAATTGTCAGGTTATACATCAAACAACCTCCATCAACGACTTCATTTTCTGGAATTGATGATGATGAGGCAGAATGGTCTGAGTACAAAATCAAAGAGATCAACATGTTTACTATGGATAAATATCAGCAGGTAAGCCTTCTCAATCCTGATACTGTCAATTTCGTACTTTATTATTCTAAATGGAGCTGTGGCACACTATTTTCATATGTTTGCTTCTATTGAGATTCAACTGAACTTAGTTTGCAGATTGGTTTTTTCCCCAAAGAGAGGGCATTTGCATTGAGGTACCAGACTGCTGGAATGTTAGAAACTGTGCTCAGACAAGGGGTGTTAGGCGAGGATGATATTGGAGAAGAATCACCCAAGTGAGTGCATTCCTCTCGGTGCTGTCATGTTCATTTTTCATCCCTCCTGCTTCTCCTCTGTATAGTGCCTCTTAAATTGAAAAGCTGCTTTTTATGCATTGCAAATTGCTGAACCAGCTGCTTGTGCATGTGCATGTGCATGATGCATGACTCACTAACTTACAATAATTGGGTATAGTAGAGCACAGGTGCGTGTCTCTTTTCCGTATAAGTTTCTCTTACCGTCTTCTTGGTGATAGGTAGATAGAAGTATCACCCCTTTGTGAATCCTCCCAAGAATGCAACTAACCTCCTGATATTGAAAATCTGAGTGGTTACACACCTGAAATCATCCCTGCTTGCATTGCTCATCCCCTAATGCCTGGTCATGCATATAAATGGAGACGAGGGAACCAAAAGTTACTATCAGACCCTTTTTTTGACTCAATCTAAGTCAGACAACTAAAGAAAGCTGTCGCGTGTAATGCTGAAAATTGTTAATTATGTGCAATTAAACACTTGCTGATGATTTGAGTACTCAGATTGTTGCTCATTCGGGGACTATTCGATAAAATCTATGCTAATGTTCTCACGGATATTTACCTGTATGCTTGATCTTGAGGGTTTTCTGGATTATTGCTGGTATTCTCATGGATACTTACCAACATGCTTAACATTGGGGTTTTGTGGCAATCCTTTTGTGCTAACCCTTCTCAACTGTCCCTGCACTGGTTTTGTTTTTCCACAGAAATCTAAAGCTTCCCTCGAGACAACCTTCTATTGTATGTGAGAATTGCCTATATTCACTGGAGAAAGATCGGCGAGTAAGAGCTTTCCATGTCATGGATCCAAAAGGAATTCTGGATATGCTCCTTGTCTTCCTTGAAGATAGAGGTAGCACTGCACCTATTCCACCTACCTTTGATGATTCTCAGGTAGACTCGAGTCACCAAGTGAAGCTTGAATAGTACATATTACAACTTCAGTTCTTGGGTTTTGCCTTTCCTTTATTATTCTCGTGATATCCAATCATGTCTGGCTTTAGGATTATGGAGACAGGATTAAACCTTTTCTGGGTACATGGAAAGGGCATTCTATCACAAAGCGCAGTGGTGTTTATGGAGCAACACTTGCTCGAGCTGACACTGTGGCTGTACTTGAAATAAATAAGGATGGTCAACTAATCCAGGTTTGCTGCACTACTTCAAAGCTATTTCTTTTGATGTGGAAGTTACAGAGATGAGTTTTAGGTGAAAGAACCAAAAGATATCACGCTTCAAAGAAATCATTTCAAATAAGAACAGGAGTGGTATTAACATATCTGCTTTCTTCATCTATTTTGAACCAATATCTTTCTGCTCTTATTTCTGTTAACCTTATGTATGCTATTTTCTGCCGATAAAAAATGTGCAATATCATTAAATTTTAATGATTCTGTTTTCCTGACATAATCCGGGATTATATTTTTTTGAAAAATAGTTTGTTAGTTTTCCTTGTTTCCTACAGGATATTGCATCGACATTGGAGGGGAGAGATATTACTACTAATGTACATTGGACGGGGACCATGTCAAAGAATTTGGTTACCTTTGACGGAGGTTTCCAGCTGATTTTACTGCCTGGGGGTATGTACATGGGATGCCCATGTGACGTGGCAAAGTGTGTTCAAGAATCTAAATCGTTCCACTTGGAGTTCTGCTGGCTTGAGTCACCTGGAAAAAGACAGAGACTGGTCCGTACTTATGACGTGGAAGGCCTCGCTGTCTCCTCAACATACTTCTTGGAGAGCAGAGTATGATTACTGATCCTTCTTTTCTAGATATTAAATAGAAAGGGGATTTACATTCATAAATTTGCGGATGTGATAGCGTATTTTTGGCTAGCTGATATACAGGTTTCTCAGTGGGAAAAATAACGGATGCAGTCTGAATTGAATATATATTTCAAATCATGTCATGGAGATTTCTGTTAGTGCTTAAAATGATCAATGGGTATACAAGTTGAAGTTCTAAAATGTGGATTAATTATGTAGTGAGAGGTAACCTAGTCAATAAATTAAACTTGATCTATTTTTTTTTTTTTTATCGTGGCTAATGAAAATCAAGTTGCCCATTTTTTGCCTTCCTATGTCGTCAATCATCTTGGATAATGCAGCTTTGTGCTCCTGGATTCTGAAATCATGTTGTCAGTTTACATTGGACAAGCCCTTTGCAAGCAGAATTACAGTAATCCTTGCCGTCCAGTACCTACATTCAGAAGATTTGAACCAGAAACAGAATTTCCTATTGATCGTATTAAACATGCTTTCGAAGTTTTTTTAGCCAACAATACCTGTACTTTTAGGTTTAAAACATACATACTTAGGCTTTCAAGGACTTTGGGTCAGCCCTGACTTTGTTCTTTTTTCTCTCGAGTATGATGGATATATGAAATGAAATGGCGCTTTTCAATAGTTGCCACAGCGATAAAATGTGGGTGCATGCGTGTGTGGTTAGGTAGCTGTTTTGTGAATGGCACGACAATGCCATAAAAGTTTTAAAAGCCGTGTTGTGGTCCAGGTGGGGATGCGGCAAATGTTGCATGCCTGGTTCAGGTCCCTATTATTTCACGTTAAAACGCTCCCTC